ATAAAATTCAATATGAAAAGAGAAGTAAAGCTAACAAAAAGTACATATCACATCAGATGCATCGTTCAACCACAGGCAGGAATTTAATTGCAAGACCTTTGAAGTTATATATTATGATAGATACATACTCTAAGAGCAATACACATTTCGCTACTTCAGAATTACTAAGTTCTATCTGTTCAGTATCTACTTGTAAGAAAAATTACGTTAAATATTTTCGAGTTTCACTACATCTCGTCAAGCCTTTTCGTGTGCAATTCTTTTAGTTAGTTTTAGCTTTAGTAGAGGTTTTAGTTGCGAGCGCCGTAAAACCTCTACTAAAACTAAAACTAACTAAAAGAAGTGCACTCGAAAAAGCTTGACGAGATGTAGTGAAACACAAAGTATTTGACGTCAATTGGTAATTCTTTGAATATCTCGATAACGACTCCGAAAGATCGTATGCTTTTGACTGAGCAGACAGAACATAATTTTGTATCTGAACTCATGGTCCTAGTAACTCAAAACGGCCAAAAATGTCAGATAGATCTTTGTAATTCGGAATTATTATGCCTATTTGAACAACAATGGCCACAAAACAAATGTGAAGCAACGTGGTGGAATCAGGCTCTCGTCAAAATAATGAAATCGAATAAAACAACAGTTTTCTCCCCGCTTGGCAATTTTTATCAAATTTCTGTTTTTTGGCTCAACACCTTTTATGTCCATTTACAAACACATTCCTTTGGGGATTTCACAGAAAAACGTTGATTAAAGGCACAACAATATAAATTTACAGCTTCCATGTACTCTCCAGCTTTGGAATTTACCAAGCTTTGGCGGCCATTTTCTCGCTTATTTTACCCATTAAACCAGGTGACCCCCAACTCCTTCAATCCAAAATATCTCCATTTCTATTAAAGATGGATAGATATTTTTTTTCTTTGAAAGCAAGACAAATGAACAAACTTTAGGATGATACCAATAACTCAATATGCCCAAAAATTGACGAGAGACTGATTCCACCACGCTGCCACACAAATCATGAACTCACCCCCGGTAATGGCGGTGACCTTGGTGATTTGTCATTGATCCCAATTTTTTTCACCAAATCCCGATTTTTTTTCTCCCACTGAGATCCTGACTTTTAGAGTTCAAAGAGTGGTAGGTCGGATTTTTTTTTTTAGTGTATTTCAATCGGAATTGACCCCTTTTGGTTTGTCAACTTTATTTTATTTTTGATTGGCCCCATAACCACCAGCCCCCAAGAAGAAGAAGAAGAAGAAGAAGAAGAAGAAGACGAAGAAGAAGACGAAGAAGAAGAAGAAGAAGAAGAAGAAGAAGAAGAAGAAGAAGAAGAAGAAGACGAAGAAGAAGAAGAACAAGAACAAGAACAAGAACAAGAAGAAGAAGAAGAAGAAGAAGAAGAAGAAGAAGATGAAGAACAAGAACAAGAACAAGAACAAGAACAAGAACAAGAAGACATCCTCTTCTAATTGAAGAAAAAACCTGTAGCCTCGGAGATAGCGGCTCCCACTGCAGCCGTGCCGTCCAGCAGAACTCCCATGTCACCGGACCAGACAACAGAGGCTGCTTCGGCCAGGGTCTTCACGTAGCAGTCCCTGGTTATGTGGCCTATGTCCACGATCTCAAACCCTGATGAATAAATAGAGCTTAAAAAGTGGCTTGGTTTTTGTGCAAATTTTTATTCATTTATTTATATATATATTTATTTATTTAGTTTGTTATTTTTTTTACTTTTTTTAGGGGGGTGACGGGGTTGAGAGAGGGGAGAGGTTGTTTACTTAAAAAACGCACTTTACACAATTATTAGATGTCTCTACTTTTTCTTCTTCTACTTATTGTTCTTGTTCTTCCTGTTGTTGTTGTTGTTGTTGTTGTTGTTGTTGTTGTTGTTGTTGTTGTTGTTCTTCTTCTTCTTCTTCTTCTTCTTCTTCTTCTTCCTCTTTTTTCAAATTCTTCTTTTTCCTTTTTCCTCTCTCTCTCCCCCCTCCCCCTCTCTCTCTCTCTCTCTCTCTCTCTCTCTCTCTCTTTCTATCTATCTATCTATCTATCTATCTATCTATCTATCTATCTATCTATCTATCTATCTATCTATCTATCTATCTATCTATCTATCTATCTATCTATCTATCTATCTATCTATCTATCTATCTATCTATCTATCTATCTATCTATCTATCTATCTATCTATCTATCTATCTATCTATCTATCTATCTATGTCTCTTCCAATGTGAAAGTGAGAATAGGCCGCCAAGAAAGACACCCAAACTGGGTCTGTTAAGGGCAATCTTCTCCAACTCAAGCCTTTTTACAGACACTAAATCACGTAATGAACCGTCTTTGGTCGTCAAACTGTTGGGGGTTTTTTTTACACAAAAGTAGAAAACTTGTTTTTGCTTCAGTCAGATTTTTCAGCATTTGCGACAAGGATACGTCATATCAGTGCCGAAAATTAAATATGCTGTTTGAAAATAACTATGAAGAAAAGACAGAGTAGAGGTAAGAACGAGGGCAGAAAAACTAATAGGATCAGAAAGAACTAGCTAACCACGCCACAACACACGCAAAACCTTCCCATGAAACCTAGCAAGCAAATAAATAAACAATGAAACTACAATTTTCAAACAAACTAATTATATAAAAATGAATAAATGAATACACAAATAAATGAGTAAGAAAATAA